AAACATTAACAACACAGAGGTCCCAAGCTATTCTTCAGCAGTGGGGAGAAAAATAAAGTCCATACTGACAAGAACAAGGGTGGAAATGTTCAAAGAAAAAAAAATAAAAAAATAATAAGAGGAGAAGTCACCAGTTTCATGGTCACCAGTTTCTGGCTCAGTTTCATGTCCTCATGTCCGAGCCAATAAGTCTCTCGTGACTCTGCCAACTCCAGAGAAGCCTCTCTGACGTGAGCACTGGCCGTGGTTTTTGTGCCTGCAGCCCTACAAAAAGGGTAATAGTTCCTAAACTGCCATTTGTCACACCAAGGGATACATGGAACAGGTGCAAAGAAACTTTGCCTGTTAGTGCATAAGATAATTTAACTTTGTTTATGGGGACTCAGGGCATTCAACTGGGGAAATCAATGGGCTCCTGGTACTGGGAGAACACTCATTCCCAGTGTTTTTGTCAGGGACAGGGCCAAGTGTCTATGGACCACCTGGGTGCAGAAGGGCCTTTTGGGTTTTGTATTGTCAAGAATGGAGGAACCATTCTCATCATGTGTCAGTAAGTGCTCTGTGAGCTCCCTCAAGTGAGGTGAATGAGACATCATAACCAAAAAGAGAAGTAGCACAGGCATGGGAGGCTTGTGGAAGGATCCAGTTCCTGCAAGCACCGACTGCTGTTCATTGCAGCAGAGTTTGGATCAGGCTCCTGACACCTGAGGTTTAAACACCTCATGAGAATTCCAGATTCTTTCTCAGGCTCTGTCCCAAACTGTTCCCATTATTATTAAACTTTTATTGCTTCCTACATCCCTGCTGAGAGGTAAACCTCAGAGTTTGGCATGAGGTCCCTGTAAATGCCCTGCCCTTTTGAGTGAAGGGAACCCATGAACTCCAGCACAGCATGTGAGAAGTGTTCCCACACAGCCACTGTCCCAGAGAGAGAACACTTCAGATGCTTTAATTCCTAGGCAAGAGAAACAGCTCCTTTGTTAGCATTGTCAACATGGAGCTGAAAATAAAAGGGCATTTCAGAGGCCTCTACAACAGTTAGAACTATTCCAAAGGTTGGTGTGTAGCAGGAGAAACAGACTATAGAAATACCTCACCTGGTTCCAATGTGGTTGAGATTGATTAGCACGAATTGCCTGAAGTTAAAAAATGTTAGAGAAAATTGAGAGGGAATGAACACTTCTGTTACCTTTTTGTCTTTACTGCCTAGAACAGTTAGGGCTTTCATTTTTGCAATACTGATCTTATAGCTCAGGGTGAGCCAAAAAAGTAATTTGGAAACAGAAATCTGGGCTTGCTTCTGGATATTATCATGGTTTTGAGGCCCCAGCAAATTAGATTCTAATTAAACACTTGGTATCACCTGCAATCACTTTTGCATTTCTCATGGAAGTTCCAGTTCCAGGTGAAGAAACTGCTTGTTTAATGAGATTTCCACTGTGAGCAAATCTCTTCCATTCCTTCCCTTCTGGTACCACCCCTTTTCTCTCTTTATCTTCCCATACCCTTCGAGTGGGCTGGTGAAGGTTTCCCTTTCAAAGCCATTGTTATGCTCACGCCTTCTTGCAGAGCAATCTCTGCACTGGTTGTGTATTTAGGGCCAGAGATGTGGATGCTGTGGCCTTAGAACCGAATGCTGGAGGATTCCACCAAGCTTATTTCTGAGGCTCCCTGACAAACCTGTGCTTAGGTGGCAGACCAGGAACACCACACAGGATCCTAAAGCACTGTGGCCCAAAGGCAGCTTCAGGAGACAAAGGAAACTTTGAAAGGAAAGGAAACTTCCTCATGTTCCCATTATGTTCCCAAGATGGCTCAGTCCTGCTCCAGGACAGTCAACACCCTGAGCTCCTATTTTGCTGACACATTGTCAGCATTTCCAAATTTCTTTCCATTGAAAATCAGTATGTTCTTTTAAATGTCCTGTACAGCCAGAACCATAACATATTATAATTCTACAGCTTCACGTGATGAGTTGTTACAGTCAGTCCAGAAACAAGATAGAAAAAAGTTGACCAGAGGGAATGTCAAAGCACCTTCCCACATGGAGAAGGGAAACTATGGGTTGGATGTTATAAATTTATGGTCTGCTCTCACCTCCAGCAAAATAAATTATGAAGAGACCTGCGTTAAGGACTTACCTGCCATGGAACTGTTTCAATATAGGTTTGTCTTTCCACGGGGATGGAAAAAAGAAGAGCATGAGCGTAAAAAAGTCACGTGTTTTAAAGACTGGAATTCACATCAGCTGCACAACCAACATTTCTGACAAGTTGAGTTAGGCTGGGCTGCATGATGTGCTGAGCACCATGGCTGAGCCAGCAAAGCTTGACTGGTGTGTTGAACTGGGAGTTTGCCCCTCTGTGCACTCAACCACATCCCCCCCCAAAATCAGCCTGTCCTGTTGCACAGGGCACAGCAATACATCTGTATAGCAAAGGGAATTGGACTAAAAGGCAGTAAATAACTTGTTCTTATTTTGAAGGCAGTGCTAAAAAAATATACACTAAAAAGTTAAAGCTCTGGATCTCTGAACCAGCATTTTCTACCAGCTGAGAGTACAGGTCTGGCTTTTGCACTTACACTCCCAAATGTTGCTTCTCTTGCTTTTGGGTAAATTCTTGGCATGTTATTGATGGAAAAATGTGCCTTTCCAAAAAACTGCACAGGGCAGTGAGAACCAGTTTTTGGCATGTGGGCCTTTTGTAAATTCACTCCTTCATTTTGAACTTCTATCACAGCCTTTGGTCTGAAGATGAGACACAATACTCCTGGATCCCAAATGAGCAGCAGTTCCAGAAGGCTAGAAAGAACTATTGTATTCAAAGAGATCTGTTATCTGTCTGCTATTCGATAACAATACATCAGTGTAACTTTGTTTTAAGTCATGTTTGCAAGCTTTCACGGGCACCAGTTTAGTTATTTGCTGAAATGTGCAATTTTCTTTACACTGAGGCCATTTAACACCACTCTGTCAATGCAAACAGACAGTTAAGTGGACATACACATAATGTATTTGCAAACAGAATGGGGAACAGAAACAGAAATAAAGCTTCTTAACTGTGAATAATCAGAAATTAAAAATCGACATCCACATTTTCTGATATTTATATGTAATGTTACATAGAACTGTTAGTAGATCATCCCCAGTGTGTGCCTGCATGAGCAGTGTGATCTTTAGTGGTTCCTTTCAACCCAAAACATTCTGTGATTCTCTAAGCAGTCTTGTACAGAATTTAACCTGTAACATAATTCAGTCTATCTTTTCCTCACAGTTCCTCATTACTTCCCAGTACAATCAGGTGAAGAATACTGAATTAGCTAAATGACTAATATGCAATTAACTCTGAAGAGCTCACAGTGAATTCAAGCACAAGAGGAATTTCTCAGCTGAAACTGGAAACCAGGAAACTGGAGCTGCCTGAATTCCAGAGAGCACAGCTTTCACATGCAGCCATTCTCCAGCTCTGCATCACCCATGCATGAATGAAACACTGAAATGTTGACACTGATAGCACAAACCAAGCAGGGACTACAAGGAAAAAAAAAAAAAGGAAAACCCAACGAAAAAAACCCTCAGCCCATTTTTATAGTGTTGTTTCAGGGAAGGCAGGCACAAGTCATACAGCTCCCAGTGGCACTATGCACACTCCAGGCATGTTTGACATTAAGGGGCCTGGTTGTTGTGGAAACCAAATCCCATAGATTAATTAATGTTCAGCAGCCAGAGCCATCTCTCGTCCTCTCCGACTCCCTGCCCCCAATTAAAAAAAAAAAAAGGGGGAGATGGTGGTGCTTTTTACATCACAGAGGAATGTCTAAACAAAAAGAAAGTCTTTCCTCACAACTGCAGGACACTACCAGTAACAGTGAACAGCCTGTTTTAGTCCCTCATGTTTATAAAATGAAAATTATAACACTGTTTTGCTGCCTGTGGCTATACCAAACTCTCTCCAAGAAGGCCCTTCAAGAAAGATATTATGTGAAATTTCTAAAATCCCCTTATGATGAAAGGACTTTTATGGAAGTCCTCTGTTTTTACTTTTGACGTGTAAATGCACTAATCACAACTGATTTTTTTTCAGTGACTGACAGTTCTTCATGGGGATGTGTTTGCACAGGGAGTTGCAATTGAATTTGAAACTAGAAAGCACCACACAGATGCCACAAGACAAATACGTTTATGACCTATTGGAGGCAAAATTTCAGAGTTACCTAAATCCTCTTTTCAGAACAGTTTAAGGACTACAGGTCAAACAGATTTTAGATGTTCCTAGATTCGATTTGAGGCTTTTGAAAATCCGTTGTCTTCAGCATCTGCATCTTGAGGTACCTGGGCACTGAGTCAGACTGCTTCTGATGTCAATGAGGAATTCCTTCTCCCATTTTTTTCCCCCCTCAGAATATCAGAATATGCTACCAGTTGCCTGTTGGCAATACTCAATCATTAAATAATAAAAATCTTGGAGGTGTACCATACTTAATAGATATTTAGTAAGTAGAGAGTTATGTGGTGTGAGCAAACCATTAACAGAGCCCAATACATACACTTACCCGATAGGTGCAAGTATTTACAATACTCTTTCACAGGTACACTTTTAATTAGTCAACATGTGATGTAAAACACTCACTTTCTTCTCACTTCAGGAGTGGTGGGGATGGATTACTGACCGTGACTTCATGACACAAGATCACCTCATAAGAGTCCCCATTCATAGCAGTGAAATAAATACAGGCAATTTCTGCAAGCCCAGATACTTCCCGTGGGACAAAACCTGCTCTTGGGTAGTTAAACAACGCCAAGAGCTCTCCCCTGTTTCTCAAATATGCAGCTCCTGAGCAAACCTGCTGACTTGAATAGGTGCTCAACACTTGTAAAAACCAAGCCAAACACAGCATGAAATATAACATTTCAGTGTTAACTTTTACAGCTCTTGCCCTGTAAGTCGGGCACTGCTCCTAAGCTGGAAAACTCCCCACATGGAAAATCAGAAGGGTACCTTTGAGATGATTAATGGCTCGCCGTGCTCCAGCCCTCCTTTCAGCGTGAATCCCCATGGAGCGCCTCCGTGCAGCAGCGCCTCCAGGTAGATGTATCTTCCTTTGTGGGTAATGCTGCACTCTGAAGGCAAGATGCTGGTGTTAATATTGTCTAACATCCTCATCTGTCCTCATCACATACTCAGGCAAACGCAAAACCCACTCAGGCAAGCACAGAACGAGCGAGCTGCAAATTAAACTCCCCAGAAGCCCCACCACAAGTCATCCCTGAACGCATGAAACAAGAGCAGCCTGAGATGGAAAGTTTTTTTTCTTCAGAGCTAGAGTCCAAGGTGATGGGCTGAAAACATTCCCATGCACATTGCAGCACGCTGCTTCTCCCTCAGGATTGCGACGTTTTACCGGCACTTCATGCTTTCCCCTTTTCCGGGTGCTCTGGGCATGACAGCCTTGTAAAGATTTCTCTTCCTGTCTTCAGTAGATCAAACTTGTGCTTTTAAAGATGTGGGCAAAAAAAAAAAAAGAAAGAAAAAAAAAAGACCAAAAAAAAAAGTTTATAGATTTAAAAGCCCCTGGGCAGCAAATTGCCAAAATCCAAACGAATGCTTCATTTGTGATTGATTATCAGTCTTTTCTTCCTTTCTGCCTGCGATTTACCATTACAATGGCCTTTTTGCCTCAGCCCACTGCACTAAAAGAATGGAAGCGTCTTCTCCCTCTCGAGCTCTCAGTTACTCTGTTCGCTTACTTCACAATTTTCTGACTTGTCAAAAAGAAAAAAAAAAAAGCAGGCTGGGGGAGGAGGAGAGAGAAAGTCCATTCCTAAAACCCTTTAGAGGGGTTTAAAATGTGAAATAATTCCATACTTATTGGATTAAAAAGGGGGGGAAAAGGCTATCGGGAAAACCGGAGAAGCAGGTGGAATGAATCCTTTGGGAAAAACATTAAGATGAAAAGTGAACTCTTTTCATTTTCGGTGCTCTCCCTGATGAGCTGCCAGAGCTGCAGCAGCTACTGCTGCTCTGAGGGAGGGTGAGGAAGTGAGGGGGAGAGAGAGAGAGAGAGAGAGAGAGAGAGAGGTGGATTAAGGCAAGTAAGGCAGCGCTGCCCAATTGTGCACACCAAGCATGCAATTATAAAATGCAGTGTGCAAAGCTGGGGCTCACCCTTTTATTATGCCCCCGGAAACCACCATCTTTCTATTGTACTTGCCAAGGAATTGTAACAATCCAAACTGCCAGTTGCTGAAAACACAATGGACCTGTTCCAAATCAGCTCAGTGGAGCACTGCTAATAATTCTGCTCTCATAAAGCGCTTTTCCTCCACATGGAGCCCAACAACTTCCATGGACATATTTCTTTTCCTCATTTACATTGCTAGAAAAGGTCAATGCTTTACCAATACGTGGAAAAAGAAATAACACTAAGAACTTGGGATACTTTTATTAATGTAGGCAGATGACTCCCGTAGAACGTATCCATGTGTGTGCATCTGTTCTTGCACATATGCACATAGGCTTAGGGATTTGACTCATTGTGTAACATATATTACTGAAGGTGTTCAAAAACTCTCCTGACTTTAATTGGACCTGGAACAGGACAATAGAGAGAGGAGCCCAGAGCCCACTCCCCTTCCTGCTGGCATAGCTGAGGAAACACGTAGTAGTGCCTCTGCCTCTAAGGCACCTGCACTTTTGATCTTACAGTGCCTGGGATGTGCATTATTTCTCCTTCGGGCTGTGGAGATCTTGGGTTACAAAACCTGAAAGAACTGTGGGGAGAAAAGCTTTGAAGCTGGGATTTTAAACCCAGAAATCTTTGCATTTGTTCACGCTGCCCCGTTCCCATTCCCTTTAAGATGCTACAGGTTCCCAGAGCCTTCTATTTGTCCCACATGTCCCAGCTCTCATTCCCAATAGCCATGAAGAGGAATGCAGGAAAGAGGCCCCTTGCTTTATTTTTCATGGTAGATGATCCTCAATCCTTGCTTATACTGAGCTTTGTCCCCTCCACTTCCCTCCCAGGGGCTGAGTTTTCATTAGCCTCACATCCTGGTCAGGCTCACGGATTGCTATTATCCAGAACTCACCCTTTAGCCTGACTCAAATCAGATTTCTGTGGTCTTACACTCCTAAGGTTTCACTGTAAAAACCCTCATTCCAAGGCACCACAAAGAGCAATTCATTTCCATCCCCTTCCAGAGACAGGCGAGGGCTCTGGGAGCTCTCTTGGGGCTGTACCTCCTCCTATACATAGCTAGCAGGACTAGTTAAGGCTGTGGAAGAACACACCAGCCTGTTAACAAGCCAAGGCACTTCTTTGGATTACATCCGTTTCCCATACAAAACATTGGTCACTGCACCTGTCTGCAGACACCTGATTTCCGGTAAGAGCTGACACTGTCAGTCCGGTGTCTGATGATTAACAGCTATCAAAGTATTCCTGAGGTACAGTTTTTCTTCTCCTCCAGCATTGTGATTAAGTTCAGGTGCTGAATCCAACATCATTTTTGCCATGAACTCCATTAAATTTATCGCCATGTCAATCACATCATTTTCTCCCAAGAAACAGATTTCAGTGCTGAATACAACTAAAGCAAAATCATCATTCACCTACCAAACAGTTCAAAGTATTAAATACAAACCTTTTTTTCTTTTTTAAAATCTTGCCTCTGCCAAGAACCTCAAATAGCTCGAGTACCTTAGCACTGTTTGCTACATGGAAGGAATTCTTTTACGAGGAGTACCTCTAAGGACAGAACTGAGATACTTTCTGTTCAGGTGCAACAGAGCAGACCCGGGCTCAGAAAAGTGCTTTCCACACAGAATAATATATTTCAATTGAAATTTTGCATTGTTGCAGTGTAAGAGAAAATAAATTTGGAACAGTCGTTAGAACCCTTTCCCTCATCAAGCACCACACTGCTAAAGCAAGAGAAATGACCAATGATTTCACTCGTCAGAGTTCACAATGCACAGAGTGCATTTATCATCAATAAAGGCACTGCCTCCTTGCTGGCAGTTGCTCTGACTTTTCCTAAATGCCTTCGAATAGTATTTCTTTGGCGAATAAAATTCAGTGAAGCAACACTGCCCCCATGTGCTGAAACCAGAAATTGTTACAGTTTAACTTGATCGGTCTAAATGCAAACATTTCATTAGTTAGTAGGCATTTGCTATGCTTTTCCCGTTCAAAAATGAAGCATATTCTTTCCTGAGTATTCAGAGTGGTGTTACTGTTTTTTCCTGGGTCCCTGAGCTGGCAAGTCATTAAGTCAGACTAAAAGTAAACCCAGAAATCAAAGACAGGAAATTCAGCTCCTAAATTTTGTGCACATCTCTTAATGCCTTTTTGTCAGGGGAATTAAAAATTAGGCATAGTTTAAATCTACCTGCTGCTTAGCTGTATCTGATAAGTTCAGAGGAAGCAAATTCACAATTTATCTTTAGAGAGGAGTCTTATAAAATAATGTGGGTCCTCATACCTTTCACAAACACAGCCAAGGGGTGACTGGCTCATGGTCATACAGGCAGCATGAAAAGGCTGACAAAGGAAAGAAGTGCTTCTTTTTCCTTGTTCACTGGTTTTCTCACAGAAGAACTTCACTTTTTCTTCTAGGCGGGGCTCTGTGTAAACTGAGGAGCGTCAGGAATTTTAAATAATAGACATCCTTCAGGCACCAGTGGGCCCAGCTTCTTCCTCTGCCTCGGAGTCCTGAAGCCATTCACCTAAACCTGCAGGAGGACGGAACAGAACAGAAGTGTCAGAAGACACAACTTTCCTGGATCGGCTCAGGATCCCTACAGAAGTGAATAATTTCCTCTTGGGATAACAATTCTCCTGAAGGTTTATTATATTAAAAAATTAGAAATTAATTAATAGAAAATAAGGCTTTCTTATACTTACCTTCAATCAACTTGAGCTGACTCTAAGATATCCATTCCCTCAGCTCAGGAGAATGTCAGTCTGGCATCTAAAAGAAGAAATTCAGGCCACAGTATAAGCTTGTTTTTCTGGACAGGCCTCAGATAAAAATATGAAAAATCAGACAGACAAAAGGAAAGAGAGAGATCTGAGAGTGAAACAACAAAGCTGAGAAACAGAAACTGCAAAATCAGTGAATCCACATCCATTTCTGTGTTGGAAAATGCACTTGCCTTTGAAGTCTGAAAAGGAGGAATTTTCTTTGGAGAACATAAAAGAGTCTCTCCACGTAATATTGCCTCCAGCACAAAACAGCTCTGGGTCCCTCAGCTCCTCAAAGCAAACTGAAAAGCAACAAGCCAAGGTGTGGAATAGATCCGTCCCTCTAAGAAGAGCACAGGTGCTGTCACAACCGAAGGAGGTGAATTCAGGGCATCTGAACTCACAGCTGGTTTCCTCTCTGCATCTGATGCCATCACCCTGCTGAAAATAGGGTTTGAATCAGGAACCAGGAATCAAAACAAGAGTCATCACAGTACAAGACCACAATCCTACAGTGTTCCAACCCCAAACAGGATGATTACTAAACAGTTAAAGCCGTTATTAAAGCTTTTAACCAATTCTGAAATGTCTGGTGGGTATGGGCCAGGTATTTCAGTGGAGTCTCTGCTGGCATAAATTACTCCAATCCCTCCCTCTGAAGATCCATCCCCTCTGCACACCTCATAGTCTTATCTCTGGGGAGAGTGGATTAGTTTAGACATAAGAAGTCTATATTTGCAGCTTGCTGGCAAACCTGTGGTGATTTCAGATTTTTCTTCTCAGAAGTACTCCCAAACAGGAGGAAAGTTATTCAGGAATTTGATCCTAAGATCAAACCTGTCCCCAGGTTTTAACTGCTCTTTCAGGGGGAAGCAGCAAAGAGACTGGGGTGCTCCAGACCAGGACTCCCAGGAAATATGGGACAAAAAAAGTCACCTGCAGCCAGGACAGGTGGTGTTCCGCAGAAAGCACCTTGCCAGGGCCCTGATGGGGAAAAGGTATCAAGTCTCCCACTGAAGCCAGACTTTGAATGATACTTCGGGGATAAATCGAACCCTGAACGCGGCGTTTATTGGCTCTCCCTCAAGCACATGATCGGCTCCTGAGGGAGGAGTCTGTTCCCGAGGTTACGTAGCCGGGCAGAGGGGTTGGGGTAAGGAGTAGGTGGCTTCCAGTGCGGCTTGGGAAGTTGGATTCCCAGCTCACAGCACGGCAAAAGCAGGAGCGAATGTGGAGTGATCAGTGCCCCCCTCCCTTTTCCAGCCTTACAGCCAGGAGCAAAAGTTCAGTGCACCATCCAAAATACAGGAGAAACAAACCTCCAGCACTGCCTGCCAGAGGTAGGGGCCGGCCCCCTCCCAGGTGAGTTTTCATGCTTTGTTTACACCTGAGACTGCTGGATACTGTAGAGCGAATTTACCTATAAACTCATTTGCCTCTTTCCTCTTTGGATAGGAGGGTGGTGCTTTAAAAAGCCCTTTCCTCGAGCTGTTTTCCACTCGGGATAGCAGTGCAGCAAGAATGGAGACCTGAGGTCTGTTGTCAGCTAGTTAATTCTTACTTTTCTTTGCTCACTCTGAAGTAGGCCATGTTAAAACCGCTCGTCTCCTTTGGTGTGTCTTTTAGCACCGGGTGAATGGATTCCCTCTCTTGTAAATTAAAATGGCGTGTTATCCTTGAGGAACGGTTATGTGTTTTTCTTCTAGTCAGGTATTTAAATATATAAACATACCTGTCTGCCTCAGACATAAGCTCTCCAGCTCTCTGAGGATTTCGTTGTGGGCCGAGTTCATACACCTGCTCCAGAAAACTCGGGAGAAGCTGTTGCCTATTCTTTAGAATAACCTGAAAAGAGGGACAGCCTCCTGTGTGTTCATTCCTGAAATCAAGATCCAAAATGGGACAGTCAGACACTTAATTTCCTTTGCTGAAGTGAAGCAACTGCCTCTTGACTCTGCACCCGCTCCCTCACCCTGAAAATACCAGCTGGGCAATCACTTCTGGGAACCCAAAAACATGTGATCTCTGAAGAGATTGGTTTAAAAATAAAAATATTTCAGTTTTTATTTCTGACCCGGGTTTTGGAGAAGATGCTTTTGAATCTTTTGCTTTTGCCCTCTGACCTTTTCTCTGTCGGTAGGAAGCCTCCTCATCCCAATATCTGCCTTCACTCAGCTCACGGTCACCCCCACAAAATGTGCCGCTTTGCCGGCCAAATATCACGAGGAACATGATCCAGGCTCTTCCCTGCTCCCGCGTGAGGGGATTTTTATCTCCCGTCTCAAAGGGCATCATTAAAACACCTGGAATCCCAAACCACAACATGGTGCCCACCGCATGAGGAAGGGGGGGGGGCGGCCATTTTGGGGGGGGCTGAGGGGCTCGGCACCACCGCTTCCCCGTGCCACTCTGGGATGAAGCCGGAGCTCCGCGCGGGAGCTGGTGGCCGGCCCGGGATGGCCCCTTCCCGGGGGGGAAAGGAGGCGGGAGGAGCGGCGAGGCGGTTCTCCTCCTCTCCGCGAACCGTGTGGGCAGCAGCGCCCCGCGGAGGTGCGAACCCGCAGGGGGGCAGGTGTGAGGGGTGTCATGGAGGACTGAGGGGCGCGCCGGGGGGGGTCCCTCGGGGCGCGCGGCGGGAAGGCGGGTGGGCCCAGGTGAGGGGTCGTGGCAGCCTCTCGGTACATTCATTCGTAAAGCTGCCACCGAGTAATAGATTTCTTTTTTTTTTTCCTATTTGTTTGTTTTCTTCTTTTTGTTTACTTTCTTGTCTCTTTCTCGTCTCTTTCTCATCTCTTTCCCGTCTCTTGTATCTTTTCCCGCCCCCCCCCTTTTCCCTCCTCTTCTCCTTTTTTTTTTTTTTAATCTTTTCTCTTTTTCCCCCGAGGTAAAAGATTTACAGACTTGTCCTCCAGGGGCTGTTAATAGCAATCACGCTCCCCAAAAAGCAAGCCATCCAAGTCTAGACTTTTAGCACCTTGGGAATTAAGTTTTTCTTTTCTTTTGCACTTTTGTAAAAGGGGGAAAAAGTCCCGTTTGGCTTTAGTCAAGCAGATTGAGGTAACAGACAGCATTTCGAGATAAAATCAAGGCAGACATTTATGGAAATCTCATCTTCAGGGTTTCTTGTAAAAGAAATTCTTTATCTGGAAACACCCTACGAAGGTGGCATTGCGTAAACCTGCTTCTGGGTTCATCCTGACAAAACAAAGCAGGAGGCTTGAAAAAGGGGAGAAGCAAGTGATACTTGTGAAAATTCAGAGATTTTACTGCCTAGGGTGATTTTTTTTCCCCCCCAGAAGATAGTGCTTGGTCTCAGTGATTTTTATATGCAGTTATATGTCTAATATTTGGAAGTTTCCCTTACAGAAGGCCCATTAATGAGTTTGAAAATTAATGGCCAGCTGAGAACAGGGATGGTGTTTTTCTCTAAAGCTTTGGTTTACTGATTCACTCAGATTGATGAATCAGACTGAAGTGTCACCTCACCACTGTGCTTATTACACAGGAAAATGGTCAGGAAAAAACGGTATTTTTGCATCTGCATCTCCTAATCTGTTTTTATCAGCGTCCTGGTTAGAACGGCTGGGACCAATTCATCCCTGGATGGGTGTAACCCAAAACTGTGTATTCTATAGCCTCCATGCCATTTCCCAAAAACTGCTGTCAGTAGAGGCCTGCAAGGTGGGAAGATGTTCCTGTCCTCATACCCTTTTATGGAATTCCCCGCTCTGATACCCTTTTATGGAATTCCCCGCTCTGATACCCTT